CTCTGGTGTCTGCTGGCGTTGGCGGCTCTCACCCAGAGTTTCTGCCTGACCTTGCTCCTGGCCGGACCCTGCTGCCTCCTCCAGGAGAGGCTGGGGTTGAATGTTCTTGCCATGGCAAGACCTCACTGTTGGCGCCTTCCTGGTGTGGTCCACGGTGGTTTCCTGGTGGGAGTAATTCCTCCTCCAGTTGGCCTCACCCAAGCAAAATAATTCACGTGGCAAAGATGAGCTTTTTTTAGGATGTCGGGCAGTGACAGGACTAGAGGGAATGGATTGAAGCCAGAGATGGGCCGGTTCCGCTGGGACATGAGGAAGAAGTACTTCCCCATGAATGTCGGGAGACCCTGGCCCAGGTTGCCCAGAGAGGGGGTGGCAGCCCCATCCCTGGGATTCTTTAAGGCCAGGCTGGACGGGGCTCTGGGCAGCCTGATCTAGTGGGGGATGTCCCTGCCCATGGCAGGGGGTTGGAACGAGGTGATCTTTAAGGTCCCTCCCAGCCCTGACAATTCTATGATTCATCCCCCTTGTGCTGGCGTGTGTCCTTGTGATGGCTTTGCTCTTTGGTCCTTGTGCTTTAGAGATGGGAAGAGGCTGATTTAAACCTTGGAGCGAAGGATTTTTTCCTTGCTGTCGTGAGTAGGATCTGGAGTGACTCGCTGGCTCCGCTGCTTTTTGCACACTGCTGTTATGGGGAGCACTAGTGACCTAATGGGGGACGGCTGCCAGCTCCTGCATCTTCCCAGAAAGGGACTCGAGTGCTCCAGCGGTGCCCTGCGGAGCCATTCCCTGCACATCCCACAACCAAAGCTCCCTTAACGAAAAGCATCAGAAGTTTGAAGTCTCCGAGTGTGTCACCAGTGCTGGAGCTCCTTATAAACAGTCTCTCCGCTCCTCTCGATACTTGTTCTTGCAGAGGGAAGTCTAAAGTTAGCAGTCCTCCCATCTGTGACTGTTGGGAGAGATGTCCCTGTGGTAATTCGAAATGCTAATTGCAATCACATGCCTTATGAAGAAAATATTAACAAATGTGGTTGAAACGGCCATTGCAAATGAGGAGAGTTCATGTAACATGGTTATTTAAGGCATAGACATCGAAACCTGCTAGGATGTAACGAGCGTACTGGGACAGATCTTCCTCTTCTTAGAGTTTCTCGTCCCGTTAGGAAACCTGCTTTCTGCTGGGCGAGGCCACAGACGCGAGTGTAACAAGGGGGACAATCTTTCCGAGAGTAGGTGTGGCAGGTGTTGGGCTAAGGGGGTCACTGCCCAGGGGTTGCCTGGGACAGGCTGGGCAGGTGCCACGTGTTCCTCACAGACGCTGAAGTCTTGGTTGTAGAGGCTCCAGAGGAAGGGGGAGGGTGGTGGGAGAGACTCATGCCTGTGGACGCCGTGTCTTGAAGGATCCTTTCTGTTCACGTCGTGGGTGACTCCGTGTGCTGGCTGCGCGTTTTTCGGTGGGCAGTGCCTGTAAGGGCGTTCCTGGGAACGCAGCATCGGCTCCGTGCCTCCGGGAGGGAGTCGGTTTTGCTAAAGAGGTACCTGGAGCTGTGGGGGAAGCAGCGGCACCCAGACGGGCTCAGTCGGAGGGTGACGTTTGAAATACCTTCACCTGCAGTGGCTACAGCGGCAAAGGTGATGGCAGAGGCTTTGCCCAGCTTCCCCAGGAGCCCCATCCGGTCTGAACTGCAGCAGGAGAGTCTGAGACCTCGACGGTTTCACTTGGAGGCTTTTTTGTGGCCGTAGGCTGACTTGGGGGTTTGAGTTCAGGTCTTTTCTGAGCCATAAGGACAAACTCAAGCTCTTGCTCTCTCCTGACTGCTCTCGGAACGCCCAAGTTCCTCTGCTTTCTGTTCATTGTCATCTTCGTAAGAGGTTTCTTCTGTTTGCCTTCCTCAGACCCTCCCTGGCAGCAGCCTGGCAGCTGTCAGATGGTTCCTCCTACGTGCTGGTGAGCCTTTGCTCTGCGTTTGTCCGCTCCTGGTGGTGCTGGGGATTGTCTGACTGCTTTTGTTTCTTGTAACAGTAAGAAGACAGGGTGCTGCTTGGTAGCCTGGCTGTGAAACAGCACCATCAGAGAGGGTGACACCTTGGGTTTTTTCCACCCTGGAAGTCCCTCCTTGAGTGAGATCTTGGACCGCGGGCATCTAGAAAGGCTCTGTCTGTCCTGACAATGTGTCACAAGTCTCAGGCTGGGTGGAGAAATTATGTCAGTAATTTTGTTCAAAAGGATGAAAGTGATGACGATCGCGTTCCGATTGACTGGGAGGAGGGCAAGGTGCCAGTACAAAGGGTGACGGGCAGAGACTGGCAGATCCTTGGGAGCAGAAGCTGAATCTTCCTTGGAGGGAAAGGGCACTGAAGTTTCTCCGTTTCTGAGCAAACCAAGTGCAGTGATTGAAACTGCTAAAAAAAATAAAATTGGGACTGTCTCTCAAAAGGGGGTGAGTAAAGGGAAGCCGGGTGAAGCCCTGTGCTGGACCCGGGGTACCTGTAGTGCCGGTGAGCAGGTGAGGAAGCATCTCTAGCAGAACAGAAGCTCGTTTTCACAGCAGAGCCGCTGCAGTATTTGTGTCTGTGTGGCCGTTCTGCATCCAAACGCTCCCTCAGTTGGGATTTTCTGTCTCTGTTCAGCTGTAACTGCATTTTCTGCAGCTGTGGCCGAGGGAGCACAGATGCCACCCTCTAGGCGTGGCTCAGGCACATCCCTTGTCACACTCCCACCTGCAAGAGATGTCCGTGTCGTGCAGGCTCTCGGGCGATTCCCTGCGGCAGGTTTCATGTCTCATTTCTCAAAGCCGTGATGCTTGGGGCTGTCCCCATGGCCAGGTGTCGCTCGGGGAGGGGAGGTAGCAGGATTGCTGCCCGCGGCGGCTCAAGGAGATCCAGTCACAGTTGTAGCAGCAGTCGCTTGGATTAAAAGATTTGAGAAAGAGAAATGTTCATCGTGGTTTCAAATGCCTGGTTTTGCAGCTGAGGCAGGAGACATCCCCACATCTGTCCAGGGACACCGTTATCGGGCGGTAGGTCACGCTCTGCGTTTCTGCTGCTTAAAGGTACTTTTATTAAGAAGCACTGAGGCACCTTAGCTTGCAACGAGCTGCTGGATTCCCTGATTTACATCGAAGCCCATCAGTGTTACTGAAACAAAGCCTCTAGCCGCACAGCACCCGTTTTCTTCAAATGTAGTGTTGCCTGCAGAAATCTGGCATATATTAAAAAAAGTGCTAAAAGCCCCAGACCCACACAGCAGATCTTTGGCGTGAGAAGCGTGCCCTTCCTGCGGCGGGGGCTCTCCCCCACTAACGGGA